TAATGATAGCTATTAAAACGCCTGCCATTTGAAATAAATATTGAATTATGAAAGAACAATGATCGACTCCAATCACCACCGCCAGTCACAATATGGACAAAAAATGAATTCAAGGGGATAAATTCAATCAGTGAATGTCCAATCATTCGACTACACTCGCCCGGTAAATGCTTTACTCTCCGTCACCCTATTGGGTCACTAACCAATGGCAGTAAAACTATACGCTACAATAAAGCGCTGATTCTAAACTCAGTTTTTTTTCTATTATAAAAATCAAATAGTAATCATAGAGAAAGACAAAACAAAACACAAGGGAATTCAAGTTCAGATAGAGGTGTGGGTGGTGGTGGCATGTAGATGCAATCAAACCAATAGAAGGCAAGACGAGGCTATGGGAGAGATAGACCTAAAGGCTAAAGCAAAAACGAACAGAGCAAGGGCAATGTGCGACTTGCATATTGAGATCAGAGAGTGAAACAAAAAAAAATACAATCGCCGAGGTGATTTGCGTACACGACGGAGACAAAAAATTGATCGATTCGTTACATTTGTTAACACATCTATTTTATTTACATTCTTTTTCGCCTCTAAAAACTCAGCCATGAAGGGATGGCTAGATCCGATATATTAAGACTCCTAACAAACTCCTCTCGATTAAAGGACAAATGTGTAATGAGAGCATGGGTGCACACTGGGCAACGTATATTCATACTGCAAAAAAGTCCATTAATCGGCAGTTGACTTCTCACTCCAAACTGCCACCACCCCACTGTATGTCATATCCGACCACTTCCACAGTACTCATCTTACCTTTTTCCCTCTACCTTTGCGTCTGTCCGTCTCTTTTACATCTTTAAATCACTTTTCTGTTACTCCCTCTCAACAATTTTTCACTTTGTTGTTCCTCTCCTCTATGAAGCCCGAAGTCAGCTAAAGGGTTAATGACATACGTCAAAACGCCTGCCATTTGGAATAAATTAATAATGAGAGCATAAAATTGTTGCAGATGGAATACGTGGGAGCCCCACCTTGATGAAACAGAATGATGAAACGGAATGATTGTGCTACTAAAGCATTTAATCATATTCTAGCCCACTGGATTACCTCCTATCTATTTATCTGCGGATACTATCAGGAAGTCCACGTCCTCACCCCACGAAACACGAGCACCGTGAAATTTCCGGCCAACTCATGCCCTCTTCCCACGTCTGTTACTTAATTTTAGACTCCTACATACAACGGTACATGAGAGTATCATTCCTCTAGTAAATTCCAATTCTGCTCAGACGTCTTACGCAATAAAATATTGCGAAGAAATGAATCGATTGATATTTAACAGGGACCTATTGGAAACATTAATAGCTTAATTTGGTGTCTGAATTTAACGCTCTCTATCGCTTTCCATGAAGAATTTTGACAATACAATACAATACAATACAATATATATATATATATATCGAAAAGTATTCTGAAAGTGGCATTGTAGTTGATACATGTTAGTGACCTTTCGGTTTGCGTGAAAAAAAAACTAGTTAAATCAAGTTACGAGTGGCCAATAGATGACCACGTGGCCCCTTAAACTAAGTCAAACAAGTCAATTTTCTACTCCATTATCCAGCAGGCAGATGTGACATATCAACCAACTCCCAACTCCCATCAATCTACTTCCCCCCCCCCCCCCCCCACTCATCTCATCACAACTGTGCTAAAATGTGATATTTTGAGGCTCTTTTCAAACTTGATAGGAATGCGAGCATATATAAATAGAAGACAGTTAATCAAATTCGAAATCCCAATGCCAGTGATTCTAGTGTAATGGGTCACCATAAAAATCTCTGAGGATAATACACTGACAATATTATGAGTAGACGCACAAGATTTTCACAAACGCGCGAAATTAACGAATCACAGAGCTTTAAAAGCACAGACTAATAAAATATATCAACTAAAAGTCAGGATATGCTAGTCTGTTTAAGAAATCACGCAAATCGCTAACTGAATTTAGAAACTTTTTTTCAGAAAACAAAATGTGATTCTGCAGCCTCCTGCAGCGTGTTGAGAGATAATGCGAGATTTCGACTAGAAAAAACTTGAGGGCAGAAATGAAATTCATAAAGTGCTCAGATTGGTAATTAAAAACTAAAAAAAGAAGAAAAATAAGAACAGCAAATTCGAAAGTTAGATGAGCAGTTTCCATTGCTTTTGAATTCATATATTATGGATTAACGTGCAATGCCGTAGTAATGCTGCAATTATTGATTTATATCAAATGGGCGGCGTTATGTTACTATTCATTAGTCCTTTAGTTGACTTTAAGGAACATAAAGGTGAAAAAGTCGGGACATAAAAGAGACAGACACAAAGGCAGAGAAAATGTGAGGTGAGGACTGTAGAAGTGGTGGAAAATGACATGCAGTCGGGTCATGGTAGTTTGAAGTGAGAAGTCAACTGCCGGTTAATAGTGGTCGACTATGACATACAGTGAGGTCATGGTAGTTTGAAGTCAGAAGTCAACTGCCGGTTACTCATGGTAGTTTGAAGTCAGAAGTCAACTGCCGGTTAATAGATGGTAGTTTGAAGTGAGAAGTCAACTGCCAGTTAATAGTATGGTAGTTTGAAGTCAGAAGTCAACTGCCGGTTAATAGGGATCTTTTTGCCTTATGAGTATACGTTGCCCAGGGTGCACCACATTTTGCCGTATGAGTATGCGTTGCCCAGGGTGCACCACGTTTTTGCCGTATGAATATACGTTGCCCAGGGTGCACCACGTGGGCAGTTTGAAGTTGGGTGATGGCAGTTTGAAGTGAGAAGTCAACTGCCAGTTAATAGACTTTTGGTAGTTTGAAGTCAGAAGTCAACTGCCGAATAATAAAGTGGCAGTTTGAAGTCAGAAGTCAACTGTCGGTAAATGTAATTTTGCATAGTTTGAAGTCAGAAGTCAACTGCCAGTTAATAGATTTAGTAGTTTGAAGTGAGCATACGTTGCCCAGGGTGCACCACGTGGAGGTGCCGTTTGAGTATACGTTGTCCAGGGTGCACCACCTGGAGGTAAGTCTATCGTGAGTATACGTTGCCCAGGGTGCACCACGTGGAGGTGTATGAGTATACATTGCCCAGGGTGCACCACGTGGAGGTAGCCGAATGAGAATACGTTGCCCAGGGTGCACCACGTGGAGGTAAGGTGTAGTATACATTGCCCAGGGTGCGCCACGTGGAGGTAAGATAGCTTGAACTCAGAAGTCAACTGCCGGTTTATAGACTTTTTTGTCACATGAGTATACGTTGCCCAGGGTGCACCACGTGGAGGTATGTCATTTGAGTATACGTTGTCCAGGGTGCACCACCTGGAGGTAAGTCTATCGTGAGTATACGTTGCCCAGGGTGCACCACGTGGAGGTGTATGAGTATACATTGCCCAGGGTGCACCACGTGGAGGTAGCCGAATGAGAATACGTTGCCCAGGGTGCACCACGTGGAGGTAAGGTGTGAGTGTACGTTGCCCAGGGTGCACCACGGACTCTTTTGCCGTGTATACGTTGCCCAGGGTGCACCAGTTTGTTTGCCGTATGAGTATACGTTGCCCAGGGTGCACCACGTGATAGACTTACTTGCCGTATGAGTACACGTTGCCCAGGGTGCACCACGTGGTGCCTTATGAGTATACGTTGCCCAGGGTGCACCACGTGGAGCCGTATGAGTAAACGTTGCCCAGGGTGCACCACGTGGAGCCGTATGAGTATACGTTGCCCAGGGTGCACCACGTGCCGTTTGAGTATACGTTGTCCAGGGTGCACCACCTGGAGGTAAGTCTATCGTGAGTATACGTTGCCCAGGGTGCACCACGTGGAGGTGTATGAGTATACATTGCCCAGGGTGCACCACGTGGAGGTAGCCGAATGAGAATACGTTGCCCAGGGTGCACCACGTGGAGGTAAGGTGTAGTATACATTGCCCAGGGTGCGCCACGTGGAGGTAAGACCGTATGATTATACGTTGGCCAGGGTGCACCACGTGGAGGGGTATACGTTGCCCAGGCTGCACCACGTGGAGGTAAGTTTATAAGTCTATTGCACACCCCATGATACCTATCATAACGCCTGCCATTTGAAAGTACGTTGTCCAGGGTGCACCACGTGGAGGTAAGTCTATCGTATTCTTAAGAATAATTGTTTAGAAAACCAGCAAGGGTTGAAAGTTGCCCAGGGTGCACCACGTGGAGGTAAGTCTATCGCACTCCCAGATGCTGCAATTATCTATTTATTGATATCAAATGGCAGGCGTCTTGATGGTTATCATTAACCCTTTAGTTGACTTCAGGCTTCACAGAGGGGAAGAAACATCAAATTGAAAAAAGTCAAGAGGGGGGAACAGAAGAGTGTTTCAAAGATGTAAAAGAGACAGGCACAAATTGCCTTAACTGATATTCAAATTCCGAGTATTTATTAATGGGGGGGGGGGGGGGGGTAGGGTAGGGGGAAGGGAGTGGGATTCAGTTAACTGTCAAAACCCCTAAAATAATTTGTGCAATAAATTAAGTGATGGAACACGAGCGTTGTTAACAGAAGCTTCAAGATTGGGACATAACGGAATGCACTATACACACCCCCAAATTATTTAAACGTGAAGCGACGTCTGCACGACATAGCGCAATTGTCCCCACGACAAGTAAAAGCAAATGTGGGTCACGGCGCCACGTAAATTAGTCACGTTACTAAAAAAAATCAATGCGAAACCAATTAATCCCGTCTAGATACTGACACATGTATCAAATAGAACCAAATGCAATGACCAATAACAAGGGTAAGTAAAATTAGTTTAATAGCTCAAATTAAAGATAGAGAAAGTTAACCACAAAGTCAGATATTATGCATTTCAAGCGGATTAGTCCCAGTTGTATATCAATTAAGAAGGAAGAAACGGCTGACGGAAATCTATTAATTGCAAACAAAAGGTCACTAACTTGTAACTAAGACGTCATGGGAACAGCCCTAGTGATTTGACAAAGCGAAAATGAATTCTACAAAAGCATGGAGCTTAATCCTATTGCCTGAAGCAAATAATATCAAGAAGGTATAAGTAATAATTGAATAAATAAGAAACAGAAATTAGAAAGAATCCATTGCCACATTTCATAATTTTGAAGTCAAAATGACGACGCAAACTTGCGGCGTTCATAACACCATAATCGTAACACGCACTGAAGTCATTAATAACTTAATGGGAAAGTGAGATTCAGTATTGTAAATTGTAAAACGAACCATTTTTTTTATATAAATGACCCATAAAAATAGGTAAATTTAATTTACAAGTTAAATCGTCACAAGTGCAAAAAATCAGTATGCTAATTGACTTTAAGGGTTAGACGAGAGAATTAATTGTCAAAGTCAGTTTAAAAGGGTGATGAAAAAACAGTAAAAGAATTACGTAAAGTGAGCTAACAATTCCCTCCCACAAAACAAAACGCACTTTAACAAATATCTCAAGCTAGAATTTTAATCGATGACATAGGTTACGTTCTTTATAGCGATAAATTTATGAGAAGGGTCAACAGACGTGAAATATCATATATTTTACCGTCAACTCCTAGTGGTAACCGCAATAAAGGGTGAGGAGGTCATATAGAATAGGTTCCAGCAGTGATCAGAAATTTTAACCAAGGTGGAGTAAATTAGAAATTACAATAACCAGCATATCGATTCAAATAAGGCCATAGCAATAATTTGAAGGCTCAATTTACGAAGAACACATTTAGTAACACAAATAGTGAAGAAAACAACGGAGCACTATTAAATGAATTTCACAGATATAGAAAAAGTGAAGCAACAACCGATTAGAATAAGCACACTATAAGAATTGCTCGTTAAATACCAACCAAATAAGGAAATCCAAAATGAAAAATGAAAGTTAATAATGTTAAGAAAAAAACGTACCTCCTTCTTAGGAGTTTCTGGATTTTGTGCCGTTTCAATAATTCTAGAGGGAGAATTAGCATCACCTCCCGAACGTCTTAAAGAAGACGGAGAAGATAGGCCCAAGATATCCGCAGTTCCACTCCCAGAGCTCGAACTAGCGCCCTTTGCGATGGACTATCGTAAATAAAAATAAAAGCGCTTCAAAGAAGGAACATTGAGACAAAACGGGAGTGTAAAATTTGCGCCCAGGCGAGTAAGTAAAGGTCAATTGTAAATACCTTTTGCTTGTTAAAGGCCTCAAGCATTTTAACGAGGTTGTCATGATGCTTCCATAGTAATAAAAAACTAGTATAAGCGAACCTTAAGTGTTCGAACCTGAGGTTTTGATGCTTCTGCATTTTGAATTTGTAGATTAATAGCGCGAGAAGGATGGGCCTTCCGTTTGCAAATCTGTTCCAACCGTAAGAGATCCTATTGTACAAATGATGTTAATATAAAAGTAAAAAATAACGAGGCAAGAGGTGATCGCTTTCACGTTTACAACCTTTTTCAACGACTCGGTATCAGGTTTAGGGGGCACAAAATCCGATGCAACATAGCGTTTCTGTTCGTACTTGGCTCGAATGAACTGTTCGAGGGCAGAGTCTGTTTGAGGACGACGGAAAAATTCTGGAAGATTTGCTTCATACAGTTGACGAGCTCGACGATTACCAACCGCTTTTAACATCTAAGGAAGTGATTTCCATAAAATCGGATAATCATCATACCGCTACTTGTGGAGCCTCCCAAGAATCAAGATTAAGAGATTTAACCTTTGAAATATGAACACCTAAGCCTCTATGAATTCCTGCGCATCGGATACACAAAAGAACTCCTAAGTTCCAAGAAGCCCATCGAGGTCCTAAGAATAAACTAAGGGAAAGGAATTAAGCGAAACCTTTAGCATCACAGTCAGCACAATATTTATTTTCTTCGTCTTTCAATAACTCGGAGATTATCATTTGAAGCCTTTCTTGTAAAGCTTTGTCATTTTGCTTCAGACCTGCCATAGCCTTCAGTGAAAAGTAAGAACCGATCAAAGCAGCCACCGCGGCTTTAGCTCACCCAAACAATAAGTAATTATATATAAATCACTAAAATTAGTTTAGCATATTTCAATGATGCATTTATTATATAAATAAAATTTAAAAGTATATTCGTCGTATAGTGGAATTATTTGTCTGTTGAAATCATTTGCATATTGTTAATAAAACTAGATAATTTATAATTTTCATTCCATTTGATCCTGCGAATTTTTCTGAACGAATTGCTTTTAAGCATTAATGCATTTTAGTTTTATTCTATTTTTAGTTCACAAAACAATATGTATCGGTTACCAAAAAATAAATTTTTGCCTAAATTTGTAAATTTTTATTTTATCCCAGCTGTAACATAGAAGTATAACTGCCATTTGATAGGGTCCACTAGTATACATTTTGACTCCCAAAAATAGCGAGATCATGGACCGTACAGAGTGCCGTTTGTCACAAATACGCTAAATTCGGTGGTGAACGAATATTAATTTTGGACTAAACATGCAGCCCATTGCCCACACAGCCAAACTCGTTCCCTTATGAATAGATTTTAAGCCTCGATGGCGAATTTCTCTTGTTCATCCGGTCGCATCGTGCGCAGCCCCTATTTACTATAACCAAATATTTTAATCTATTCTACTTCTTCACATTTCCAAACTGAGATGGAACATTACTTCAAACACAGAACTTGCTATTAAAATGCAACCTTTTCAAGTGAGTTTAATTATAAATTAATCTGTTACTTAATGGATAAATAAAAGAGGTTCCAAGCATGTGTGAGAAATCTTATAACTAAGACGTTTATTTGCTTATTATATTAATTTCGTACTATTGTGTAAAGAACTTAGAAAAACGTTTGTCCCTTTACATCTTGATCGAATACATAATTTAGGCATGTATTTTTTAAAAGTGCCTCCATTAAGGATTGCGTTAATGACTCCTTTTATAAGGATTTAGTGGTGAATATAGTCACATGCAATCCAATATTCTGAGACTGCTTTGCTAATACTGTTAGGATTAAGCTAAGTAATTTTTAATGATTGCTCACTTTAAATTTGCGCCTTTGGAAAAGTCTATTACATCATCAGGGTCCATCGATTATTCATGCCAGAGGTAGAAAGATGCTTGACATTCCTAATGACATCCGTCTGAAATCCTTTTCACAAAATTCAACTTTTATATGATTATTACGACGGGAATAACGCTGTTAGAAGGCCCAATTTTCCAGTGTCGTTGAGAAAAGTATGAGGGTTCAATTCTTTTTTTTCACAGTAAAAAAATTAAACGTCATACAACTATTTCGAAGAATAAGTACCCAATGCCCTTGGGTAGTATTAATAATAATCTTGGTAGTACCAATAAAAAATTAGAATTTTAATTGTAGGAAGAGCTCGAAATCAGGTAAAAGAAAAAACATCAACCGAAAAGGAGAGGACATCGAAAGGTGTCACGCGTTGAGTCAAGGTATCAACGAGTCTCACTTTATATTTAGTAAAAGGAGGCGTGCGATAGTCTTACCTCCACGTGGTGCGCCCAGGGCAAAGTATACTCATACGGCAAAAAGTCTATAAGCCGGCAGTTGACTTTTGACTTCTAACTACCACCACCCCACTGTATGTCATATTCGACCACTTCCACAGTACTCATTTTACCTTTTCTATGCCTTTGGGACTGTCTGTCTCTTTTACATCTGTGAATCATTATTCTATCTCCCTCTCCACTTTTTGTCACATTGATGTTCCTACCATCACCCCACTGTATGTCATATTCGACCACCTTCACAGTACTCACCTCACTTTTTTTCTACCTTTGTGTCTGTCTCTTTTACATCTTTGAAACACTCAAATGTTCTTCACCCCCTGTGAAGCCTGAAGTCAACTAAAGGGCTAATGATAACCATCAAAACGTCTGCCATTTGATGTAATATTTAATAAAAGGATGCTAACTACTAAAAAAGCTAAATTGCATAATTCATCGTCCGAAAACCAGGTGTTTAGTGACGCGGTATTATTTACTCACGATGGCCGATAATACCACATAAATTCATTTTTCCGCCAATGACTGATTGGGAGGGCGGGGAGGGGAAGGTGATTCCGCAAGATATTGACCGGTTTTTAAACCTAACTCAGCAGAGATGACATGTGCTTATAAGATTTGGATAAAGTGTAGACTGGTGCTTAAAGTGACTTGACGCTTTACTCGAATCCCATTAAAATGAAATCTTACAATATGTTATTAAAATCGATAAAGTACGATTTTCCATATCCTCTTTTATAATAATTTAAATGACTACCTTCGTCATTGCAATATTGCAATTTAAATTAGAGGAAAATACAAAACCTCACCATTTTTGACGAATTTTTATTTATTTTTAAATTACCCATATTTTCATGAAATATACGCAAACAGAATTAATATTTATAATTCTCCAAGTGAATTCATGAGTGACTCTTTTATTCAGGTGATTTAAGTATTTATTTAAAGATTTTTATCCTTAATTCCACCATTTCCAACTTCATAAATCCCATAATGATTGATCATATAAAAATGATGTCAATTTTATGATTCACTCATTTTTTGGTAAAGGCAATTCAACCAGTATATTTTTCCTTTCTTTCTATTCCAGATGAGCCCAACATCTTGTGCGATTGGATATGTAGCGGATTGCTACCTTAGTAAAGCCTGACTGACTCAGAAATCTCTATGGCAGATTCTCCAACATCTAGCTAGACTCCCAGAATCAGCTAAGCTATAGCCCAGCTATGAAAGGAAACAGACGTGTAGCACGGAGCACGTTTATTCAGTACGGATATTGCGGATAAAGTGTTCACGCAGGAAGCTTAATCATGATCAGGA